AATCAAAATGTGGACTGAGCGCAAACAAGTTTAGAATTGCGATATTTTTTGTGATAAAGAAGAAACAAAATTTTCGCATTCAGTCATAAACACAAAAAAAAGAATTTCCTGAAATGTGCAAGCATTCCACTGAACAGCAACAAATATCATCACGACAATGCTTCATGCTACTATCTATAAAAACGATTCGTTTTCTGATCAACACAACACCAAATGAAACAAAGACACACAGATATCCACCGTTATTGATAATATTGATGCGCGAAAGTACCAAAGCGTTTAAAAATTCAACACGTTTCAAACAAAACCACTCTGATACTTAATACGATGTTGGGCTAAAGATATGGAATTAAAGAGGATAAAACAAACAACACAAACAAACCCTTTTCGAAGAATCTGCATTTTCAGCCGTGCATTTCGACGACGACGTGGTGGGTGTTGACGTAACAGAGAGTGGCTGTTCTTTGCGATCCTTTGCGGTCACATTATTTGCCTTATTTAACTCATTCCGTTGTTTCTCACTGCTGGCCACTTCAGTCAACTTTTTCGATTCTTTCCAATTAGTTGAACGTAGTTCACCTTCATCTTCATTACTCTTCGACGCCAATTTCTCGGCCCTCTCACCCTTCTCCTTCACTTCGGTGGATCGTTCGGTTGAAGCCGTTTGACTCCGATCTCTTATCTTCTTGTTATTACCATTAATACTGTTATTATTATTCACAATCAAATCTTTCTTTTGTTGCTTTTCCTTCGACAACGAACGCTTCTGCGATGGTGTTCCATCGGTTGACGCATCATCTTTGGTGCTACTTGCATCCCGTTTTCTCGATTTTGACTTCATCTTCTCCTTATCTTTGCTTTTTTCACCTGAACCCGCTGAGGCACTCGCCGCAGACGATGAAATGGAATTTTTCAATAACGAAGAAGACGATGACGACAATTTTTCCTTATTCTTTTGTTTTTCTCGATTTATTTTTGGCTGTTTCTCTTTCACACGATCACAGTTAATACTATTGTTATTATTACTATTCTCATCGAATTGTTTCGTTGTTGGTGAAGATAACGCTGACGACGATGTACTAATAACACTATTATTGTTGCGCTGGTGCCTTGAGGAATCCTTTTCCTTATCTTTCAGTTTCACTTTTTCTTTTGATGATGGAGAAGATGACTTTTTGATGTTATTGTGCATGACGACATTATTGTCTTTCTCTTTTGAGGAGGACGTATCCTTCTGCAAAAATACAATAATACCCTTCGCAGAAAGTTGCTCTGGCGGACTAATCTATTGTGCAAATGTGCCGAAGAAGAGAACAGATAAAGGTGAGCTGAT